TAACTATATACTTATTATATATATATATATATATATATATATATATATATAGCAAATTATACAATTGATTTCTTTGTATATGTATAACGAATTATACATATTTATGTTTGCTATGGAGCGCAATTATAAATATTGTTACTCTACGTATTATTGTGATAGAGTATTAATAATAAAAAGAGAATTGAGAAAACATTACAATTCACATAATCTTTTAAGTAAATATATCTTAAAGATCTTAACATTCATTACATATGAAAAAATTAGTCCTATTCAAATCAAAAAGTAGTTCTAGAATCTACAATTTTCATTCATCTTATGCTATTAATTAGAAGCACATATTTTTCTTAAAATATTGACCCTAGCACCTTAACTCTCCTTTAATAAATAAGCAATTACGTGTTAATTTTTCACAAGTTTGACATACTCTTATTTATGAGTTTGGGGTATAGTAAATGATTTCAAATATAGATGTGGAAACAAACTTTACCAAGTTGAAAAGACAAGGGATTTTTTTCTTTTTTACTTGTTTATAATACTAATATTTTATCTATTTGATGAATTTGCACTTCTGTTAGATTTTTTTCATAGTATAAAATAAGTGAATTATTCAAAATTTAAAAGTATTTGAGATTTTTTTTATATTTATCCTTTGTTTAAAGAGTTTTTTTAATTACTTTACATTTTCTAGAAAAATAATTTGAAAATAATTAAAATGACAATAAAGGAAATAAATTTTCGATTTATGTCCTTAAATAATTGCTTTGATGGGTGTCGTATCCCAACATTTACTTAATATAAACTAAAGAGAGTAGCAAGTCTTTAATAATAATTTGGGGAACAAAATAATACAAAAATAACAAATGACAGAAATTCCATATTTAAATTTATTTATTATCATTATCCTTTATTAGTTTTACAAATTTTCAAAATCCTTTATTTTCATGGATCAGATTAATGTATCAGTGCATCAAATTAATGTATATCGCAAATCAAATTAGTGTATCATGTATAAAATGTAATATGTCGTACTTAAAGATTAATGTAACTCGCGTATCAGATTAATTTATCAGCGTTTATATTATTGTATCAATTTGAGAAATTTTTGTAATTATAAATTTATAAGAGACAAATGATAATTTTACCTTAAAATTATGTAATTTTTGTCCTTTGCCCATAAATAATTAGTGTTGAAGATAAAAATATGGAAAAAAAAGTATTTACTTAATATATTAAAAGTAAGAAATAAAGTACAAAAACCAAATGTCAATGGCGTGTGCAATTTCCCTTTTAAAACTTAAAACGCGTGTTGGCTTTCACTTTCGCGCATTAGTAGAAAAAAGGAATCCAATGAAATACTACTTAATACATTTAATTAATAGGCAATTCAATGTAGATTTGACTTACTATTTTCCTCCATTCGTGCATCAATTACGACTAATATAATTCAATTCAAGGAAGGAAACAAAGGTCAAATTCTCCATATATTATTTGGAAAATTAACAACTTTCTTCTTCTATCACTTTTTTTGGTTAAATATTATAGCATGTCATTACAATAAAAAAAAGGTTATGAAATTCCAATATTGAAAATCATGATCAAAGATTAAGGTTTAGTTTACGCTTAAAAGGTGTGTTTTGGAATGTCTTTCAAGAAAATATTTTCTTCTAAAATAAGTGGTTTTCTTATTTTATTTTCTGGTGTATGGTTAGTAAGAAAAAAAATATTATCCCTCAAATATTTTAATATAATCTGGACAAGTATTATAACACCGAATTCAACCCCAATAGAAGACCCTAACTTTCGATCCAACATGGGACACAAATATATATGTACTCCAATTCGAGACCCCAAATCTCGACCCCAATAAAAAGCAATGGATCCAAATCTCAATCCAACCCTAATCCAAGACCCTAATTCTTGATCCTACATGGGACACGACTATGTACCCCAATCGAAGACCCCAAATTCTCAACTGTAATTCAAAATCTGGGATCCAATCTCGATCCAACTCTAATCTCAACCTGAGCCCTAATTTTTGACCTTGACCTGTGATCCGATACTACTTCCAACGCCGATTTGGGACTTCTCCCCATGAAAAAATATAATTATCTTTTTTTGATATGTCAAAAGTGATAACTAAAATTGAAAATCTATTTTAGAAATAAGTAGCAAGAGAAAGTGAACAGAGGGAATATTAAGAACCATCTATTTTAGTTAGAATGACATACAAATAGAAATTAAAGGAGTATTATTAGGAAATGAAAAGAACGGATTCATCCAAACTTTAATAAATGGTACGTCTATGCCCTTTGTTATACTTTACCTTCACATAAGCTAATGTCTTTCAATTATAGATATACATATACCTCTCTCACTAACGGACCCCTAAAGAAAATACACTTCTAAATCTGATTCGTTATTAAAATAAATGAACTAATTTTATACTTATACTAGATATTATAGTAAGTATACCCATCATTCCAAAAAAATATCACTTTTTGTTAATGTGTAATAAATTGGTTCATTAGTAAATCAATTCACTACCACTTTATACTTTACACAACTCTTAAAAGATAATGTGATTTTGATACAATAAATAGCTTATCTTGATATACTTATTTTCATTTTCAAAATAATAAATATTGTACTATTTTTCTTATCGATGACTATATTTTTCTACTATTTAAATTTGATGTATTTAAATCGAGTATCTTTTAAAAACAAGCTCTTTATTTTTATAAAAATAGTAATAATATCTATGTACACTATATCTTCTTTAGATCATCTCTAATCCAACACCAAATCTTATATCAAATTCTATATTTGATGTAAAATTTAGTGTTTTGAGCTCCAATTCATACCAATTTTTACATCAAATTTGGTGTGTGAATAGTGTTACATCAAATTTGGTGTAACACTATTCATCACACCAGTTCCCTTTTTGAATATTATTTTTTTGTATATGATTTTTTTTCAAAAATTAAACTTATGTTAGTTCTATTATAAATTATAATTGAATATAAGCTACAATTAACCTTCACAAAAATTAAAAATGCAAACATATAAATTTTTGAACAAATAATACAATATACTTAAAAATAATAATTTATAATAAACACTCAACAAAGTAGTAATTGACATACACCAAAAATGAAATATAAAATACATAGTAATTTTACAACAAAACATAAGAAATAAGAAAATATAAAGTAAATAAGAAATAATAATATAATAATAAAAAAAGAGAATTTTTTTTTTATGTAAAATTTGGTGATTACACAAAAAATAATGATGACACTAAATTTTAGTGTTTGGATTGGAGATGCCTAAAAATATTTTATTGTTGTATAGAAAATAGAAAAAATGGTTAACGTTACTGTTGAGTGTTGAGTCATAAGTATCCCGTTTCAACCCTAACTTTACCTAAAAACTCATCCCTTTTTATTTTCCCTCCTCTGCTTTCCATTACAAAACATTCATGGGAAAATACTTGAGAAAAAGTGGCCATGTTATGGAGTCTTCTTCTCTTGGTGTTCGTACTAGATCGACAACCTTAGCACTTCAACGTCTTCAGTCTTCTTCTTCTTCAACTCCACCACCCTCACTGCCCTCTGCTTCTGATTCTTGTTACCTTCAACTTCGTTCCCGCCGCCTTCACAAACCACCCACCCCCATTCCCTGCCCTAACTCACACCCACACTCTGCTTCTGTTGGGTCTGTTGATGAAATCTCATTTCCTGACAATAATCTTCATTTTCAACACACTCATAGGTATAAATCTACCTTCCCTCAACTTATACTTTTGTTCATTCTAGTGGGTTTCTTTTTCAACTTCTGAAAGGGAAATCTTTCCTCTGTTTGAAGCTGTAAATCAATTTGTTGCTTTTGTTTGAAAGGGAAACGCCCTTTAAGCACTTTTGGTGTTGGTGTTGCATTCGTGGGTAAACACTTTTATTGTGCTTTTTCTGTTTTTATGAAAGAAAAAAAAAGAGATTTCGTCTAAGTTTAAAGATTGAAGAGCATCATGCTTTTAAAATGCATTTTTTAACATGGTTGGAGTCGCAAGTTTATTTTAAAATGTTTGCTTTGTCAGTTTTACTCTCTTACAGGTCAAGGAAATGATGAATTTTGGGTTTTGTTTCCTTCATTCCTTTGCCTTTACTTCTTCCTCTTCATGTTGTTTCTTGCTTGCTTTTGTTTGTAGCTTCACTTCTTTGCGTCCTAGTATATGTTGTTGCACTTTCTTCTAGTGTTTATCTTTTAAGTTGCGGACTCATCACTTTCAAAAAAAATACATTTTTGACGTGTTAATTCCTGCTAACATTTATGGAGTAGGTGATCTTGTGTTATACTTGTGAAGCTAAAACCTTTTCTGATTCTGACCGTTCGAGCGCCTCAAGATTTTGGTCTTTGATAAGGAAGAATTAGTGAATTTTCTTACATATTGTATTTGAGCTGTTGAATCTTACATGAAAAGAATTGTAGCCATTTCTTGTATCCTATGGTATACAACCTTTGGAATACCATATTCCACTGCATAGAAAAAGATCTTAAAGAGCAAATAGTTTAATATGATAAATTTTCTTTAAATGTAGCAAAATGCCATGTTTCTGTCTCTTTTTTAAATGGAAGCCCCTAACTTTTCTATTGTTAGACCTCTTTCTTCTTTTGCTTTCCTAGTGAAAAATGATGTTTGGACTAGATATTTGCATAGTTAATTGGATCTTAGTTGTTCTGATAACAAGTTAGATATTCTCTTCTTTTTTTGTCTAGTATCATATTCTTAAGCATTATGACTGGTCATAACAGAGCTATCTGTTTATTCTGATGCACTAAAGGGTGTATGCTGGTCATTAAAATGGGTAAAGAATAAGAAGAAATTAGGGTTTGGTGGTGGCCATGGATATATTTGTCCTATACAAAAAATATTTTAGCTTATGAAGCCATTAATTGCTTTTCTTTTCACTATGTGCTTTTCTCATGACATGTCCTAGTCGCGGGGTCTCGTATTGAGAGTAAGCCAAGGCAAAGTCTTCAGTAATATTCTAGGTTAAAAATAGGATATCCTTTTTCATTTTCCCCGTGTGTAGTATTTGCTGTCTTACGGTGCGTTGAAACTAGTACTAGTTATTTTTTGTATTCAGTTATCTTATTTCAGTACTTCATTGTCCCTTTTTTGGGGGTATGGAAGATCATGTACTGATAAGGTTTGCATATACTCTATCCTCTCTATAGACCCTGTTTCTGAGACTACACTTGGTTTGTTGTTGTTGTTGTGGAAGATCAGGTGTCGGTAGATAACTATTTGTTGTGGTTCCAGCAGAATTTCTTGTTCTTTTTTTCTCTCGCTCATTACTTGCATATGGTCTTGTAACCGATAGTTGTGAATGTGTATAATCAGAAGCACTAGAGAAAGCACACCTTGCAGTCTGGTGAGGGAGGTGGACGAAATGGTCAACCCTGGTTCTGCGACAAGGCGAACAGAGTTAAACACAACAACTCAAAGAAGAAGGAACTTTATCCTTAGAAATATCCCTTCAGCTCATGAAATCGAGGAGTTTTTCACCTTTGCTGAGCAGCAACAACAACGCCTTTTTATGGAGAAGTATGCAGTCATTTTCTCTTTAAAACACATTTTACAATCGTGTATGTTGAACTAATGTTAAAAAAATTTCATTTCACCTACCAGGTACAACTTTGATGTGGTAAATGATGTACCGCTTTCTGGCCGTTATGAATGGATTAGGGTGAACCACTAAGCTGGTGGGGCTGATGAAATTGCTGGATATTTGATGTTCTCTCCCATAAGTAAACTATTGTATAAATAGGTGGTGTAGTTTTAGTTATCTGTTAGATAGCAGGATTACACACACAACTAACAATTTGGAAGGTAGAATAGACATAAATTGTGGATTAGGCTTTGACTGTCTTTGTAACTTGCAAGGTGACATAGCCAATGTCTTGTGTACTTGTCTTCCTTCTTTTTTTATTCTTAAGTAATCAATTTAGGTTTTGTAGCTCTCTTTTTATCTCCACTTGATGATAGTACACTGTGACATCAAAAAGTTTGTGGTGTACTTTTTCCCCACAGGCAAGTTGTTGATTCTATGGTTATAAAAATCTGGCCCTTAACTTCCCAATCACAAATGTTTTACTAATTTGTTGGATGTGCCTTGTCATATTTGTTTACTACAAGTATTTGCATAACAAATGAGGGCAAGACCTATCCTGGTCACCTCTTTAAAGAATTCTTAATATTATTAAGATAGTATTTTTGTGTAGCCATTACCACCAACCATCACCACCGCTACTATTAGTCACTACCATTGATGTTGTTGATCTCTAATACCAATCAACTCCATGATCATAACTAGCAGCGGTCTGCCAACTACCACACATTCTTTAGTTGTTACCATCAACACCGCTGACTACTAACATTAATAGAATTATCATTACAACCACAATACTATTACTAATAGCCACCATTGTGATAGTGACCATAGTAACAACCACCTACACTGTCAAAACTATCACCACCATCATACTAGCCACTAATAATAACTATTACCTTCGCGATCACCACAAACTATGTTCAATTTTTTTAATCAAATGTGATTTTATTTTGTTAATTCTTTTTTGATATTTAATTAATGTTTAGTTGAATTGTATATTTATCATGTTCATGTAAATAAATTATGTACATTTGGATGTTGAAAAAACAAATAATCATAGTCATTAAGTGTTTAGTTTTAAAAGAAATAATTTGATGTTTAAATTTAGAGACATGATCTTAATCATTCAAATATCTAAATCTTAATGAAAACAAATAAAGCTAAAGAATCTATTTGAATTGATCTTTAAAATGGTTTTTTTCTTCTTCTTGTATTGAATAAAATAAAGAGATAAAAATGCTGGGTATGTAGTAAGAATTGATGGGAAATAGAGGGAAGGAGAGAAATTTGAAAGGTTTAGAACCTGAAAGGTTGGGAACTTGAAAAGTCCTCTAATGCTTTATTGAAAAAGGCAATAGTCCCTCATCGGTAATGAAAAGGAAAATAGGAGAGTTTAAATAAATAAACACTCCTATTAATTTTTTATTTTCAAGTTTAAATAACTAATTTAAATAGGTTGTTGCATTTATATTGAAATGTTTTTCATCAACGCTTCCATATAAATGAAAGGAAAACTTATGTATAGA